GATTTTGTGAGTTCACAGAAAATATATTCAGGTACATAAAGTGTGTATTATCATTTGTTTCAACAGGTGCCAGTATAAACTATGCAAAATACCAAGATGAGGACAATCAGAGTTTAAATAAAGCCAATACAGAGACTTAAAATTGGAAATACATTACTCCTTGAAGCATAATGTTAATTCAAAAATGCTAAAAAGACTGATTTCAGACATCGATAAAATGGAAAGTTATTGCTGAAAAGAAATGAAACTTACAGAACATATTCACAGTAATGCAAATTCATAGCCCAATTTTTTCCACAGTTCTAGCACTTCAATTTAATCAGTTATGGAACCACAAAAATGGGAAATCTGCCAATTTTGCGTTATAAACAGAAAATCACAACACGGTACACATGGCCTGAACACTTTTCAGAATAAAATCACCAAAAATTATGGTAAATGTCTGAAACTTTCCGTGCCAATGTACTTTTGGACCAGGAATCCATTTCTGTGATAACATGAAGCATTACAATGATATGAGGTTAGATAAGAGAAAAAATAAGAAATTATTCAGCTTAATTTCAACAAAATCATCTATAACTTCTATAGAACAGCAAGAAAGACGCCCCAAAGCTCTACTACTATGTGTTTTTGGGCCAGGAATCCATTTCTGCAATCAAATCTGAGATAAAATGAGGCATTAATAAAGTAAATATTCAACAATGACAGATCAGATACACAATCACACACAAAAACTCCTCAATTCTAATTACTTTTTTTTTTTATAGGAAAGAATCTCCAAACAATTTTTTTTTTTTTTAATTATAAAATTCGGCAGAAGCTCCTGCACGGGCAGACCCCATTTTCGTTTCAAAACGATGATTTTTTTCCAAAAATATAAAATTGGGCAGAAGCTCCTGCACGGGCAGAGCCCATTTTCAAATCAAGGCCAGGACAATTGGGGAGAGGGTGGAGGAGACACAAGTTAGATCTGCAACAAAGTTCAAATTCCCCATGGCTCATTAATCTAAAAAAATTGGGTCTATTCAGGAATAGATCTAGCAATTCTAAAGTTACCGACTTATTTGATAATCACGAATTATTATGAATGAAGCTCTCGAGTAGGAGAGTCCATTTTCAGCAGTAAACCAGCCTCTAAAAGTTGTATTAAAAAATAATTCAATTGGCGCCGGTACTTGTTTCATGAGTCTAAATAGATATATTGGCTAAAAGAAAACAATTAAATGGTTTAGTTATCAAAGACTTTGTCAGATGTTCGCGATATTTAAGAGAATATATTCATTCATCAATGAACAAATGCCAGCTGCACCCCGTTCACAGACGAGTTCATCAAGCTTGTTATGATCTTTAAAAAGAGGTCACCATTACGGAATTATCGATAGAAGAATGAAATGGTCACATGACCAGAAAATAACACCAATTTTAATGATTTAAAACAAATCTATTTAGATTTCACCATATTTTCAAGAAATTTCAGCTTCTTATCTTTCTATCCAAACCAGATTTACAACAATACTGGGTACTGAATTAATTACAGGACGCTCTCAATGAGACCACCCATTCGCTTGTTTGCAATCTCGGCTTCAAGCCCTAGCTAGATCTAGGTCAGGCAAAGGTTGATGACTTTATGAAGAACTATGTAACACTATAACAATCTAATTAACAAAATCAACTTACCGAAACATCTCCTGAATATCCCTATCCATGATTGGAAGCACAATGCAGCCCTTGATATGCACTTATGTACGTGAATAGAGCGTAATCGAAAATAGGTAGTAGTGCACGAAAAGAATTCTTCGCCATTGCTGAATCAAGCGCGTCGCCAGAGATGGGACCAGCATGTGCGTTTACAACAACAAGCGGTGCTAAACGGATGCCAGACCAATCGTAGTCATTTTTGCACACGATTCCCTTGACATGTTCTACTTTTGAGTAGACCAGGGTTCTTTCGACCAATCATTGGTCAGACTTGGAGATTTCCATTCTAAAACATAGGTTCCAAAACTCCCGATATTTCTGGGTCAATAACTAACTTTAGCAACAAGCGCTTGGTACCGGGTGAAAGCTTATTCAAAGCTCGTTCTTGCACTTTTTGTTT